CTGGATTTTCAGAAAATGGCTATGCCTTGTGTGCACGCAGTTGGTGCTATAAATTCCGCAGGATTCGCGATCGAAGATTATGTTGGTTCATATTATCTCGCCTCCACTTTGCGGAATACCTATCAGGGTAAGTCAAAATAGAATATATTACGTGGATTAACGAAAATAAATATAAGCCAGTCAATTTATATTAAATGGTATTGAATAGGAGAAGTTTTGATGATATCGTCCGTGGATATTGCAGAAGCTCACGCAGAAGTAGTTTTGCCACCTGTTGTTGAGCGCAGGCCCGGCCGTCCCAAAAAAAGAAGAGTAAGATCTTCTACTGAGGAAGATAAAAGAACCTTGAGCTGCTCTCAATGTTCAGGGACAGGGCATAATAAAAGGACGTGCAACAAATAGGTATGATAAGTTCAGTTCGTTGTTACTTTATATATCTGAATACAGACTCATAGGAATATTGTCTCCTCTATCTTATAGGATGTAGATCGGATCTGGCTTTGATCAGAATTGCGATCTGTGAATCCGTAGTGCTACTTGGCAATAATATTCGATATTCGCTCATAATTATAATTTACTGTACTAATGTTGTATACTGATTTATACGAAAGTAGATGTCTCTTATTATAGAAGTATTCTCTCACTATCGTTATCGATTGTTATATGCTGTAGAAATCTTCTAAAATTAAGTAAGAGGAACGTTTGCAGTGCTACCAGATATCCTGGTAATTTCTTTATTGAGAATACTTTATACGTATATTGTGGTATAACTTTATTCATGTATATGTACTTCGAGTTCATATCAAACAATCCGTCAATAAAGGTAATTTATGTGATTGTTAAGGTAATAGGTATAAAGACTCGGGATCATTATTGATTGCAAGTGCTACTTACAACAAGACGTAAAGTACTAAGGTGATATATTGTGCTGTACCAGGTTTGATGATTACTTTAGCTTACTATGTAGTATGTGATAGTTTACTGCAAGTAATGTGTTGCAAGTACACTATTTACTTGCACTGGAGGAAACGAGCATTGAAAGACTTTTCTGTTGTACTCACTATGATTTAAAATTCGTTTAATCAAGAAGGGTTTCTAAGTGTGCATGAAAGTAACATCAAACTAAACTATTATGTTCACCTATATTTCCCTGTAATCCATTTAAAGTTTAAACTATCGCTTTTTCAGATAGCAGTATAGTAAAATAACAGTAATGAATGAATGCATATAATCATATTATATAGCATAAATTTGAAATAATATAAGTATGATTCAAGATGTTATCAATAATCATATAAAGCTTTACTGCAGATATAATTTGATAGTTACATACATATACCTTTTATTGACGACTTGTGAGGTATCTCATGATACCAATCAGTTGATAATCAATCACAGTAAAATACAGGTATACTTCGATATCGATACATATAATGTATATCTTCTATTGAAAGCTTATTCCCATTACTGTACTGACAGTATAGCGAAGTATACAT